GTGCATGAGGAGGGGACCATGGGGACTGGGGAGGGGGACCGTGGGGACTGGGAAGAGCTGACAGAAAAGGGTTCAGAGACTGGATTTAGAGCAGTTCTCTGCAGAAGAGATTCTTTCCCTACATATATTGCAGAAATGAGAGAAAAAGGAAGGAAGGAGGGAAGGAAGAAAGGAAAGAAAGAAGGAAGCATGGAAGGAAGGGAGGGAAGGAGGGAGGGAGGGAGGGAGGGGGAGGGAAGGAAGGAAGGAAGAAAAAAGAAAAGGAGAGAGAGAAAGAGAGAGGGATATGAGGGAAGAGAGAAAGAAAGAAAGAAAGAAAGAAAAAGAAAGAAAGAAAGAGAAAGAAAGAAAGAAAGAAAGAAAGAAAGAAAGAAAGAAAGAAAGAAAGAAAGAAAGAAAGAAAATCATCCTGCTATTTCACCAAATCCCTTTAGGGTCAATTTTAAATCACTTTGCTAAAAATTGAATTTGTCGGGGTTGGGGATTTAGCTCAGCAGCATAAGCGCCTGTCTTGTAAGCAGGCAGTCGTGAGTTTGATCCCTGGTACTGATAAAAAGGAAAAAGACAAAAAATAAATAAATAAAAATTGAATTTGTCTTCCTAAGTCCTCCAAAGCCACTGGCTCAGCAAGAGCTTGAAGTGTTGTGGTGGCTACCCTGACTTCTCCTCCAGCCTCACCTTGTCCCACTTACCCCCTGCTTCTATTTTTCTCTTTTATGTGGATCTGTCTGTATCTGATTTAGACAGTAAGCTCCTCACCACTGTATGTGACGGTGCCGAGCATTCTGCAAGCACTTATAAATGTTAAATGGTAATAATGATGGTGGGAGAGTCCTGAAGTGCCAGCTGCTTCACGTCATCCAAAAGAAGGTTTCACTATAGACTGTGGCTTGAAAAATAAGGACAGTGAGGAAGGAAGGAAGCACAGCTTTCTTACCTAAGAGGAGGGCTAGAGAGAGGCTAAAAGGAACTTGTTGTACAAAGGAAAATGGATTTTTTTTAAAAGCCTGCTCAAATCTTAGGATGAAAACTAGAATTGGAGACTTGGCCTTGAGTCTCATCAGACTTTCAAGTATTGGTTGTGCGGAGTTTCAAATGATCATGAGACTCCGATTGCCTGGAAAGGCTGGATCATCCCCTTTCAGCCTTGCATCAAGAGAGCTGCAGGTAGCCAAAGAGCCCAGACATGGGCATCAGAAACCCTGGATTCCAGTCCTGATTCTGTAGCTAACTGGCCATGTAACACTTAACTTTTCTGTGACCCAGTTTCCTACTTACACAGGCATAGCTCTGGATAGTGTGGGTTTGGTTCCTGATCATAGCAATAAAGCAAATATAATAAAGTAAATATTGCTATAGAACATGTCACATGAATATTTTGGTTTCTCAGGGCATGTAAAAGTTGTGTATATGTTAATACCATATGCTGTACTGAGTGTACAATGCCATCATATAAAATACATGTACCTTAATTCAAAAATACTTTATTGCTACAAATGCTGTTATCTGAGGCTTCAACAAGTTGTAATCTATTTTCTGGCAGAGGCTCTTGCTTCAGTGATGATCACTGATGATCATTCAGCGTGGTGGCTGCTGAAGGTTGGGGGAAGCTGTGACAATAAGACAACAATGTCTGCTGCATCTGTTGCTCTTCCTTTCACAAAATTCCTCTCTGCAGCATGAGATGCAGTCTGATAGCATTTGTGAACCACAGAACTTGTTTCAAAGATGGAGTCACTTCTCGCAAAACCTGCCATTTCTTTATCAACCAAGTTTCCATCGTATTCTAGATGCTCTGTTGTCATTTCCGCCACGTCCCCGGCATCTTCATCTAGAGTAGATTTTAGCTCAAGAAATCATTTGCTTTCCCATCCATATAGGCAACTCCTCATCACTAAAGTTTGACCATGAGATGGCAGCAATTCAGTCACTGCTTCAAGCTCTTCTTCTGATGCTGGTCCTCTTGTATTTTACCTCATTTGCAGTTATTCTTGAAGTCTCAAGGTCATTCTTCAGGGTTGAGGTAAATTTCTTCAAAACTCCCATCAACAACAATATTTTGATCTCGTTCCATGAATCTTCAATTTCTTAATGAAGAGTCCTCCCCAGAGGGCTTTTAGTTAAGAGCCATGAGGTGAGCAGCTACTATAGGAAAACTGGTGCCATTAGACTGTCAATCTGAGAGCTGTCACCAACCTTCAACTTGTAAAGAATGTGTTATCTGGAGGACAATTAAATGAGGGATTAGATCTATAAAGTGAAGAGGGAGGTCAGTGAAGGTATAAGCTTACTAAATAATTCCAATGAATTCTTCAAGTTCTGTAATTCAGTTGCATCAGTGATTAATAGCTGTAAAATATAATACCTAACATTTTGCTAGGCACTTACTATATGCTTATCATTATATTTGGATTTCATGTGCCTCATTCAACAGTCACAAGTCTGCAAAGCAGAGGTTGCTCCTACACATGGTTTGCCCCAAGACAGTGAAGGAATGACTCATCCAATATGCTAGAACTGATTGGTGGAATAAAGACTCTACACCATTTCTGTGTGAACCTGAAGCAGTGTGATGACCCACTCATCTGCACTCTACACTGTTACCCATTGACCCAGCCTCAGTTGGGCACCTGAGTGATGGGTTGCAGGACAGTGTTCTTAAAGTACAAAATATACTCATTGAACTGGGTAATTCGAGACAATAATTTGAGATAACAACTGTATTTAGAAAATCCAATGCAGCAAAACCCTGTTAACTTCAAGTTGCCTTGCTAGTAGGACCTATGGTTACTAACATGGTGAGTAAGCATCAGGCAGTTCTATATATCAGCTCATTCCTCCTCACGGCAACCCTGCAGGACAATCTGAAATCTGCAGTTCACAGTGGAAACATGCTCCATTGCACTCTACTGCCCACTCAGCAGCTCTGAAGTCTCCTCCATGCTTCCTTCTGACCCATAGCAGCTGGGGGAGCTACACACAATGGACAGGAAGCCCAGGGTTCCTGGGTACCACCTTTTTTCCACTCCAGGTGCATCTTTACAACCAAAGTTGGGTGAATGCTCTTCTCTTCCTCTTGCTGTGGTATAGGCAGGCAGGGAAATTAAGCTGCTTCCCGCGGGTGGCCCTGGTTTTCCATTAGCACTTTGCTCTAAATAAGGGAAATCTTTGTATTTTGTCTTCCCTGGAGCTGGGAATGGAACCCAATGCCTCATGCACACTAAGCAAGTGCTCTGTCACTGGGGTACATGACAGCTCCAAAGAGGGAGATCTTGATGGAAAGTCCTTCCCACCATGGAAGAGGAAGGGAAACAGTTCTCCCCTTCCTCTGGTTCCACCGTTATCCAGCCAGGATTTGGGCTGAAAGGTAGCAGTGCCAGTGGCCACTGGGCTTTGACTGTGGCCTCTTGCTTAGTCAGGTGGCACAAGCACAGGCCCCTCTCTCCGGAAGGCACGGGAGGATGCCTGAGACCCTGGTCTCTTTACATCAGAGAGTAACCAAGGGAACTGGGTTTGGGTGCCATAAAATTAGACTTTTCAGCAAACGAGCCCATGTCATTCTGTCCTTGTCATCTACAGGGGAGAAATACTGAATGCAGATTCACAGTAAAGTTGTTTTCACAGGTAGCAGCCATAAATAACTGGGGAGGCTTCTGATTTCTTATTGTATTTGAAGTGAGTTTGTAATCAATATAGGAATCCAAGCAGCCAAATTGACAAATTTGGGGATTTTATTAGCTGAGTTCAGTGACCACCCTCGTGGACCCCTGTTTCAGAGTCAGATCGAGTGGCCTCTAACTGGAGGGTTACAGAAGTTTTTAAAGTAGAAAACCACAAAGCAAGACATCCTGTTGGAAACAATTTAGTTAGAATCTTACCTTAGTTTTGGTTGACACCTGTAACTTGCTTCTTTGTTGAGCAGCTTAATTTTTTCTTGTGGGTGCAGCTCATTCTGCTTTCCTCATGGGGCTTATACACTGAGTAATTTTTCACTCTTTTACATCAAATTCAGGGCACAAGACGGCATCAGTTATGCCAACCTACAACAGTATTCTTTTCCTTCCCCCCTTCCTTCTTGTCATTTGAAAGTCATCATTAAAATGTAGTCATTTTAATTTTATGTTATTTAGGTATAGATATAGATACCAAATGAACTCTAAGTTATTTTGTTTTGTGGGAAAAAAAGCCAGGAGAAATGATATTGTCGATACAAGCTCTTAATTTTGTTATTAAAAACAAATATTGATTTTGTTTTTAAAAACAAAATGTGGTTTTGTCCAGGAGGATCCAGGCTCAAGCTCCTCTCACAATATGTCTTCCGGCTTGGCCAACTCTTTTCAGGACAGTTGTGCAAGGGAACAATATATTGGGGTCCCCATCACTTGTTTCCTGACTTCCTGAGTGTCCTGACTTACAGAAATACAAGTGAAGTCATTCATGTACACATAAACTTCTTCCAAATATAGATATTCATGGAGTATCTGCAAAAGTAAATCAAACCTGTTTCTAGAAAGAGAATTACAACATCTTTTTTGCTGTCCATCCCTTTGTCCTTTTTGATCATTTTAATCTTGAGCACACCTTTTTTCCTGAAAAATAATTATTCGAGGACAAATAACTCAAAATACACCTTGTTTCCAATAGTGAAAAGTGTAGCTGGTTTCTTACAGCCCCCGAAAACAGACAAATAGAGAGAGCAAGGCGTGGAAAGAAGAGCAAATGTCCTCTCCCTGAGTTCGAAGTCCTGCTCTGTGCAGCCCCTGCAGCTGGAGGGCTCGGGGAGCAGGCAGCCTCTCTCCCAGGGGTTCTGGTTTCAGATACAGGGCATCAAAGCAGGCAGCACATGTGGGGGCCACGGGACAAGTCTTGAGTAGAACACACCCTGCTGGAATGAACAGCGAGCCTGCAGTGTGTTTCCTCACGGCTCTGCCCCAAAGCCCTTGGCCTTCAGCCACTGGCTCTTGCCCTTCCCTGCCCCATTGTCTTCGCCAACCCACAGGGAAAACACATCCCTTCTCCCACTGGAAGGTCAGCTGAGAGTCCACATGAGTGGCCAGTGAAAAGAAAACCAAGGAAAACTGCCACGGATTGCCTGTTTTTGTGGCTACTTGAGCAGTTGAATCACAGCCTGACCTGGAAAAGGAGCAAGGATTTTGTCAGGTACGAACCACGCTCTATTTTCTTTATGGCATTTTCTGGAGAGAGGCAAATGTGATTTATCTATCAGAGAAGACTGCATAAGTCCCATTCCTTGAACAGAGGACCTGTGTCAGCCTGGCATGTGCCTTGGGAGGTGGTCATGGCTGCCACACGAGTGTGTATTCGTGCAATGGTAGATGTGCTGATTCTCAGGGAATGACCCCAGTGTGAGTCTCTTATTTTCTATCTTGATGGAAATCCCAGAAATAAATATGTTTGGTTCTGGATAAAGATGTTTGGGGAAGGCAAAAAAAATTAGTAGAAAGGAGACACCATGGCAGAAAGAGAATGGATAATAAATGAGAGTGTGTGGGCTGTGCACCACCTGACCCAGCCAGATGCCTCCAGAAGGGAAGCAGAGGAAACAGCGAAATGCTTTTCTATCCCCTGGAGTCTTCAAAGGAGGCCTGCAAAGCAGGGCATCCAGTAATCCTCACTCGCTGAGTATCTGGCGCCTTTGCATCTGTGAGGTGCCTCGTCAATCGGAATTCCTGGTACATGAAGAGACTGTTAACTGCACGCGGTAACAGAGGTCAGGCAGCCCCCTCTCCTGTTGCCTTATCTTAGATGGTGTCAGGATGGGCACTGGGGACAGGGCTGTTTTGTGGAATTTTTTTGTCCCCCAGGAATGCTAGAGAAAGCCATAAAGAGCATGACTGCATACTCTTCCTATGGAAAAAAGAAGGTTAATTCTGTCTCTGGCTGCCATCAATCCCGTCCATGAACTGCACAGATTCCAGCCATCCCTACGCTATGGCTGGAGTCCTCCGTGCAGGTGTGCCATTACTTTAATTATTTAGGATGTGATTTCTGCGCCCGAGGAAGATGGATAGCACATCTTAAAGAAAACAGACTTCCCCCAACACAGCACAACTAAATGTTTCTGCAGAACAATGACAGTGGATTAAATGGTCTGTTTTTTAGATATTGTTAAGTTTATTTTCAGAGGAAGCACTAACATTTTTGCTGCCTGGGCTTTGGGGATCCACTTGCCATAGAGACATGAGGTCCAGATTTAATAAAATCATGCAGTATGAAGTCCACAGAATATTATTTTTCTTATACAGGAATGAATGCTTTGATTATTATTCACTCTTAAGTTATCCCAGGATACTAAACCTACAATATTAGGTTTACCTGCTGGCTGAGGATTTCCCAAATATGTCAGCGATTATTACCCCATTGCCTGGATTAGTAAGATGAGGTAAATGATCCTCATTATTGATGGAAGGAGACAATTTTACACACATGTGTGAGCACACACACACACACTCCTCTAAGGAGTCATCCTTGAAGTTTATTAAACAGTAAAGTTTTCCATATTACAGAAATATATTTTTCTTCCAAATATAGTATAAATCTCAGCTAGTCTGAAATTAATTATAGGCCATGTAGCAATACTGATTTTCATTTTTCTGGTACATTTCTAATGTTATCTTTTGGACAGTAATGCTAGAGTTTCTTTTAAATAAAGAAGAAAGTCCTGAATACTCATAGATACAATCAAGAAATTTTAAGAATGCAAAAGTTAAAATTTTGGTTGGCATATACACTTGGAAAAAGTCTAAGATATTCCTATTTTAGAACCCCTTTTTTCTTTTTTCTCCCTCTTACCCTCCCCTCATTCTATCTTTCTCTCCCTCTCTGTCTCTATGTTTATCACTATCTGTGTTTCTCCATCTCTCTCTACCTCTGTCTGTCTGTCTGACTCTCACTCTTTCAGTCTCTCAGCTTGCACATTCTGTATTTTCTATACCTTTCACCCACAAAGTAAAAGCAAAATAACAAAATTTACACATTTTGGATTTTATTACTCCTTAGTGCTTATTACTTTTGGGGGGGGGAGAATACAGTCAAATATGGCAAAACAAAGCTGTCAGTCAATACCAAGGATAGACATAGCACATGGTGTAGAACAGAGTACAAGTTTATCAACAATGGTTATCAACGTTGTCCCTTGTTTCCTTAAAAAGAATTGTCTATCTCATTAGATATTATAAAGTTGGACAAAAAAGTAGAGAACAAGACCAACAAAACTTAGGCATTGTAAACATTACAAGAGAGGGAGAAAATAAAAGAAAAGAAAAAGAGCTCTAACGGATATAACAGCAAGTGTGTTTAGGGGTGTTAAATAGCTGACTATATCAATGTTTTTGGATCATTGAACACAGCTGTTTGCAGTCTCCCTGTTTGAATGTCCACCTTGTATTCTTTGATACTGTGATTTGAGGAACTATTTTCAAGATGATAATATGTAATCTACTAACAGGTGATTTCTTACTGTTATATTTTTTGTTTTGTTTTGTTTTCTTTTTTTTGTAGTTCTGTATCACGTGTACCCTTACACCGCTTTGGTTTGTTTTGTGTTTTTCTCTTTTTCCTCTTAAATAATAAAAAAAAAAAAGTAAAAGCAAAATAGCAAGTGTTTCTTCTCTTGGCATTTCATCATTCAATATGCGAGTTTGGAGTTTAGCTGGAGCTGGATGCTGTCATTTATCTCCTTGTGTTTTTGCTAGAAGCCATAAATTCTTTTCCAGGATATTGTCCTCTTCATCCTGGGTTCTTCTGAGCTAGCATGATTCCTATGTCTGTCATCAGAATAATTCATAGAAAGAGAAGAATGTAGCTGAAAAGAAATGGGGAGATTTCCATGAAGAAATCTATTGTTAAAAATGGGTTTCTTTTATCTGACAGCTAACTTATTTGTGTGTTGCTCTAACACAGTGTAGAGACTCGGCTAGATACAAAGGTGCACCAAGTCCCACATCCTCACAAAATGTTTAGGCCTGGAACTTTCTCTCAAAAGGGACTGGGCATTTGCCTTTGGCCTATCAAGACAGATAGGGTTATCACTGTGGTGTTGTCCTGTCCTGTAGCAATGAGAATGTGTACCCTGTTGATGTGGAGGTGACCTTAGTCTATGGGCAGAAGTCTGCGCCAAGCATGGAACTTGGTCAACATCTGAACACCATCCAGATGAGAGGAGAGATCTCTCAGGAGTGTGCAGGAAGGGGACAGAAGAGTGCCTTGCAGTTGTCTCATGTATGTGGATCCTACTCTCCATCCTCCCCTTCCCTCCATGCTTAACCTACCTGGAGACAATTTTGCCACTCACTGGCACATCCCACAGGGATGGGGAACGAAGGAGGAGAAGATGACACTCAAATTCACCCACTGGAAAGAATTCTTGATTTTGAGCCTGTGCTAAATTGCTCAGATACTTTATTAGACAACTTGGAGTCATTTTCTATCTCATTATTTAAGTGGAGAAATTTGTTATGTGCACTTTGTCAGAGAAATTAAGGGACTTTTACCCAACCTACCTAGCTGCTCAGTGAGAGGCTTTTGATAATGAACGAATTCAAATACCACATTCCTACAAGGTAGCTAAAGCTAGCTCTTAATTTTTCTGTGTTAATAGAATAAAGCAGTGACATTGAAAATTCAGTTTAAAGAAAACAAAAAGTTGCAGTTTTCTGACCACCTTCTCTCATCAGAGCTTACATCAAGAGCCATGACCACAGGGAAAAGATTATTCTGAATTTAATGCTGGTGGAAATGCTTAAAAGCAAACAAATGACTTAAAGGGTAGGAATGTCACACAAAGGCACAAAGTGCTTGTAAACCTTACACACTGGGTCATTAACTTCTGAATAACTGAGTTGGTCTGAGATAATACATACTGTTTGTCTAAAACAATCATGAATTATCAGATCCAATTGCATTGAGCAAGTAGCAATGTACTTACTAAGAGGCCCTGTCAATACTGCACTGTCGTGCTTACATCCCTTATACTGGGACAATAGGGGATGTGGTTGCCAAGAATAACTGAGATACAAAAATAATTCCAAACTCTGATACAAGGTGGTGATTGCAAGTCAAAATGGTGCTTCAGAGCTGCTCATGGGCACTGACAGTCCTTTTTTATCCCTGTTTTCATCCTTCTCTCAACACCTCGAGCAATGAAAGCAAAAATAAGCTGCAAAATGGCCTAAAGGAGGATGATAGAAGCAAAAGTGAAGAAGGACAAATGAAAGTAAAGGGTGACTAATAATACGGAGCCATGAGAGGCTCCCGAAAGGTTGAGGGACGGCAGGGCTGAATTTGCATCAGTTTACAATATCCCTGTGTAATTTGCTTCCGCAGAACAAAGAGCCATTGTGAGCCTCCTAGGGGTGATATTTCCCATCACTTCAAGGTTTATAGGTTTGAACTTTCAGGACCTGTGCTCCTGGGGCTGTTTATTTTCTCTGCATACTTGGCCTGCAATTATGGTCAACTGCAATCCCAAGGCCTGGACTGATGCACGCTTGGTGACATGTCAGTCACCTAACTTCAAGATAAACAGATAAGAAGGAGTGAGCACAGTTTGACAGAAACAGCATCTCACATCTGCAGTTCACAGAGCCCTTCTCATCCCAGGGCCTCTACTTGGATGCGAGCCACTGAGCAAGTCATGTAAAAAGTTTGGAACCTTAATTTACTTGTTTGTGAAACTGTAATAATATCCCGCATGATGATTGTGAGGATAAAATAAAATGAGGTATGTCGAGGTGATGTATAAAATTAAAGTACTCTGTAAGTCTTAGTAGATATTGGAAACAGGAAAGATTAATGTGGGGCATCAAATGAATCACTCCAACTGCTCATAGACTCCAGATGTGCACTTGAGACATGGGATTAAGATGTAGACCGTGGTGGCCTGTCCCCAAAGATTCTAATTCAGAGCACCGGGAATGAGACCCAGGCATCTTTGTTTTTAATAACTCCTCTAGTGGTGGTGATTCTGCTGCAGGTGAACCCTGGGCCACCCTTTCAAGGATGCTGTTGTAAGCCACCAACCAGTGCATCCTGGCAAAGGGCAACAAAAATAGGAGGTGGGCATATGGAGCCGGTGCTACTCTCCTCCCAGCCTCAAAATGTCCTACTGACCGGTGCAGGTACAGCTTTCTGCAATGTTTCCTGCCACCCAGGCTTCCTTATCCTAAATCTCCCCAGGAAGGTACTTCAATCAAAATCCCACCTCACCCTTGGTTCGTTATTCTCCTAGATTTCTCAGTCTCCCTCGCCTTTCACACATTGGGTGAATGGGTGAAAGGATGCTGATTGGGTCAAGTGAATGGACTCCTCAAGATTGATGATATAGATAAATCAAATAGTTGAACTACATGCAGGAGATAATTGGAAACTCTAAAAAGCAAATGTCTACACGTTGTGTCAACTATGACTCATGACTTCTGTGTGACCCTGCTCTTACTTTCTTAGGAGCAATCGTCTCTCAGAAGCAAGAACACTCAAATGTGCTAGAAGACCAGAAAAGGTGTTCGACTCAGCGTATTGTAAATACTTGCAAGTCCTGCTCTGTGTATTGCTCCAGGAGCCATCAGTGGCTAGAACTGTGTTCTATTAGGAATTGCACCTCAGTTGCACCAGCATGCAGATTCCAGGTATAATGTTTTTCTTTATGAAGTTGCATAGGAGGTTGACCGTGTTCTGGAATTGGTCAGTATTTCTTTTTTCCTAATGAAACAAAAGTCAAGCTCAAACCAGGTCTTAGGAGCCTTCTTAGTGCAACCCGAGATACCCACAGATGTGTGGGAAAACTTGTATTCTTCATGGAGAATTCCTTTTATACTCAGTAGATAGATCCCGCTCTCTGAACCCAAAAATGAAGTTAATCTTTTTTAAAAAAAATCTGCATATTTACTGAGTTTCTCCTGTTTTAAATTTAAAATATAACAAAATTATTGATTTGAATTTCTTTTTCAAAACATAATCACATATTTTGAAAAGTCTAAAGTACTATTCACTAGTAATTCTAGAGAAGTGGTTGTATCCTATTCAATTCACTTTGTAGTGTGATTATTGAAAATATATCCTTTTGCCTGATTCATCTTGATTAGAGACATTACCAGGGACCTGTTGGTTTATTAATATATTCTAAATTATTTACTCCCACAGTAAAACATTAGGTACAAAATTACAATGCTTTGGAGAACTCTCCCAAAATATTCTAATGTGAAATTATAAAAAAAATACTTCAAAACTAAAAATCTTTTGAAGTATACGAGAAAAAGATATGAATCTAAAACCAAAGCATTATCTACTTGCTGCATAATAAATGTCACTGAAAATCTCTGAAGTATTTTCATTGGACCTTAACAGTCTTTGCTTCTAAAGGGTTAACATAAGTTTTTGAGAATATAATATCTAATTTAACAAAATTTTAAATGTCTAATATGGATCCTAAACCTCATCACAGAGAAATGAGACAGCCCCCAAGTTTAATGGGTATTCCCACTCTCAATGGGCTCGTGGTGTTAGGTTTGTTAAGCCAATGACAGTAGAAAAAGTTAGGGCTCTTTCTGGATGGACAAGTCCACTCAGCCAGACAGGGGTCAGACTGGTCCTCTGCTCACTCACCAGCTTCTTTTTGGGAAAGGAGAGCCTTTCTGTGTGTCTAGATTATCCTCAGAAGTTAAAAAATTCATTTTGGCCGAAATTCTGCCTCTGAAAGTATGACTCGAGTGAATTAAAGTTCACAGCTTCTTGAATTGAATGGGCTGTGATTGTGCAAATTTAATTTTAGATAATGTACCACATTTAGACATTTGCTTTCAGGCTTCTGTTGCCCAGAGGGAGAACTGCTAAATCAGGAGGAGCTACAGCATGATGCAGTGCAGGAGCTCTGCATGGAGAAGGCAGGAACCCGGGGAGCAGCCCTGTCCTGCCGTAATTAACTCTGTGACCTCAGGCTATCTGGGTGGCCTCTCTGGGCCTCGTGCAGAAAACCAGAGGACTACGTACGTGATCCCACGGTCTCGTCAGCTCTCAGTCTCTTAGCCTCTCCAATGGCACAAGCACCAAATTACTCCGCAAATGGTTCATAATGGTTCATAAATCCACGTGAGCAGCGCAGGGTGACACTTGATTGACAAGTGTCAAAACTTCTCAAGGAGTTGGTTTGTGTGCTTTACAGGAGAAGGGGTAGAGTGTGTGGGTAAATGGTGGTGATGTGGCCTGTGGCATATATATAGAAGAACTGGGACAATCCACCACCATCAAGAGTAGATTGGGGAGGTCAGGAATTGGGTGAGTAGTGGCAGCTGACTCTCACTAAATGCCACCATGAAGCAGTTGTGGGTTTCTTGTCAGCTTCAATCAGCAGCTAGAGAGAAGGATGACCATTACCAGCTTTGAAATGAGGAAAGCCAGTCTCAGGCTTTGCATACCAACACTTCAACCAGGAATCCCTGGGCTCTAGGACTGGAACTTGACCAGTGTCAGGGGAAAAAAAAGCCTGAGTAGGCAGGAGTCACTTCTGGCAAAGAAGAGGCTGCAGATGCAAAAATTTTCTTAAAAGAAAGAGAATTCTGTTGTCCTGCAGTCAGGAGTGCACGCATCGGGTTTGTCCCCAGTTTCTGAAGTAGCAGAGTCATTGCAATAACCTTGGGAACATTTCTTAGCCTCAAGCTGCAACTTGATTTCTACCACGGTGCATCACTTGTTACAGAAATTCAACAAACTGTACCTAGATGACACATTCGACAATAGTGTTCTCTAACAAGAAGCTTCAGGCAATTTATTTAAGCATCAAAATACTTGTAGCATTATTAGGAAGCACGTTAGTATGCAAGTATTAAGAAACTTTTTCTTTTCACTTAAAATATATTATGAAAATACTTCTTACCCGAATTAATATGAGAATTGCATTTTTACATTATTTGTGTTGATAGTTTATAATAGATCGCTTTTTAACAAAAAATGAAGTCAGGTTATAAAGCTACCAAGCTTCCAAGTGAGAATAGACTAATTATAAATGTGAGAAAGTTTGGGGCAGGGGACATAGGCATTAAAATAGACGCACTTAATAAGAGGTGACAATGATAGCACTGGGATGAGTCTCATTTGAGGTCACCCAGGAGGAAGCCTTTCTGCTCTGGGGAAAGCAACAATAATGAGCAAAGCAATAGGAAAGAAGAATGAGAAAACTTACAGTGGACATAAAAATCAAGAAATTGCTGCAGTGTATTCTACGGTATAGTCTGGTGAGCGTTCAAGTTGTCTGCATCCAAGCAAAGAACTACAACAATTAATATTGTAACAGGTAGTTTAGCTATTTATCTTATAAATAGATGGTTTGTAAAGAAGAAGGCCTCAGGCGGAGTCAGGTTGGTCAGCCTTATGGAGAAACAGTACATATGCATGATTCTATAGGTTGATAGGCTCAGAAATGTAAAAGCAAATACTGGGGAAATGATAGCAGTTAAGATAAGGACAGGGAGTTAGGATTCCTACCCTTAGGTGGGATGAGGTGCACCAAATTAACACACACACACACACACACACACACACACACACATACTGCACACACCCTGCACACATACACACACATGCACACATATAAATGCACATATGCACACACATCTAGGCTTTGAGGCATTCAAGTATACTGAGTAACTGGTTTTTCTTTTGCACTCTGAATTGGAAAGCCTGATTTTCTATTGTTTACTTGAAATTCATAGGACCACTCATGATAGGTGATCACTGGGCACAACAAATTCCAGTGCTCTGCTTGTCCACAAAAGACTCTAAACAAAAAGCCCACATGACCACTGTTTTGGGACTGTTCCATCTGGGAACTTTCTTTATTCTTATACTTCCAATAACACTCATCTCAACTTCCTTCTTTGTGATTTCACTCTTTGGCTCTGAGAGATACTGGCCCAGTTTGGACAATAACAACATGAAGATGCCTATGAGAAGTTCAAAACTTCAATCCTTGAGGAAGTCTGCACTCCAGGTATGCACCAGAGAAGGATGATGGCAAGTATGAATAAACCCACATATGCATGGAAACGAATGATGGAAAGGAGTAAGGAATAATAAAATCTACTTGTCATTGAGTTCATTAATATTTTTATGCAATAATTATGTAATCTACAGCAGTGTTTGGCAAAGCTCTCCTATGATGGGCCAGGCAATAAATATTTTAGGACTTGGCAACCAAAAGATAAAATCATGGTTGAGTAGATATTTATATATTAAGCAAAAAAAAAAAAACCCTTCCTGGTCTACCTCACTGCTAAACAGACACACTTTGCAACTCAGTTGCAATCAGCTGGTGGCATCCTTGAGATGCAATTCTCTTTTCTATAAGAGCTCAGTTTACCAACTCCTACTGTAATCCATCTTCCCAGTGCCTAAGCAACTGGCAGCAGAATCTTTTATGTGTAGGTTAAACCTACATGGATTGTGGTCAGGAGCCTTGGATACAAAAGGGGATAGGAATGAGATGACCAAGATGACTAGACCTCTAAGGTTCAGAGTACTAACACAGCCATGTCAAAATATAGTGATCTAGTCTATAAAGTAGATCTAGATGATTTAATATGGAAGATGTTAGAAAGTCCACATAGCTATTTGGAAAAAATTAAAACTAGATGCATTCCTGAAATGAATCAGAGATTTAAGTACAAGTAACTAAACTATAAAACACTAGCAGGTACGTACACAGATATAAACATGGATAGGTGATAGACAGAGAGATGGAAAGATAATTAGATAGGCATCAAATACATAGATAAATGAAGAGAGATAAACAAGAATGCCCTTTACTGTGTTGCCTTTATCATGTAGCCAATGCATTTAGGCAAGAGAAAGCAATGGGAAGCACAAGAATGGAAAAGGAGGAAATAAAATTACTCTGAGTTGCAGATAAGATTGTACATCATAATTAAAAGAGAAAAGAATCAATAAAAGGCTCCAAACAAGAAAGGACTTAGAGAGTTTATAAAGTTACATATTTAGCAGATTTAAAAATAACTTGAAAATGTAACAGTGCTCATGTATACAAAATTATATATAATGAAAGAGAAGACTCAATAACAATGGCAAAAATGAGAACAAAATACCGAGGTATGATATAAGCAAGAAAGGCCTGAAGCATATATAAACATGCGCAATACTTCAGAAGGAGACAAAATAAACACAAACGATGGAGAGAGATTATTTACTTGAATAAGATGACTTGGCACTGTAAAGTTGTCAGTTCTCTGTAAGCTAGTTTATAAGCTTGCAGAATTATCAATAAGAATTCCATTAGCCTTTGGGGATTTTTTTTTCTGAGTTTAGAAATGTTGTCCATTTACAAGAACAAACAAGCAAGAATGGCCAACCAATGTTTGAAATGTGCAAAGAAATGTAACAAGCAGAGGGCTGAGTGTATTAGATATTACAATAGATAAACCCTCCATAATTAAAACATTTTAATAGCAGCTTATTCACAGAGTAATAGGAAGGGCAGAAAATCAAGAAATAAACTCACTCAGATGTGAAATTTATAGTAAGTGTATATAAATATGATAAAGCCAGTATGTCAAATCACAGGGGTAAAGACAGACTATTTAAGAAGTAATATTGGGATAACTGTATAGTCATATGGAAAAAGATGAAATTAGATCCATTCCTCACAGGATATGCCAGGATAAATTCGAAATGAAGAGTGATTTAAAAGCAAGTAACCAAATCACAGAGCATGAGAAAAAAAACACAAATGAACACCACTGTAGCTTGGGAGGGGAAAAAACTTTCCTAAGATACAAATCAGAAACACAAAAGCTGAAAACTGATATATTTGGTTATGTAAAATAAAATAAAAGTTATGCATTTATTCACATATATCTACAATATATAGTAAAAAAATGATGCTGGGAAAATGTTTTGTTGTTAAAGGTAACATGTTAATATTTCTCTCTATATATCTAATAGACAAAGACTTTCTAAGAATAAAGCTTAAAAAAGGCCAGAAGCCCTAAAGTGGGGTTGAGATACAAAGCAACCTAGACAGGAAAAGAAATACAAGTGGCTCTTAAATATAGGAAAATACACTCAATTTTATTTGCAATAAGATAAATGTAAATGGAAACTACACAAAGACACGATTTCTCTCCCATCAGATTAGCAAAAGTGCAACAGTTATGTAACCCATGCTGCCAGGAAGGCTGCTAGGAAGTGGATGCCCTGGAAAACCCTGGAAAGGAACCAAAAATGGATCAGCACCTGCGAGAAGGGGGTTGGAAATATCTAACAAAATTATATATGCATTTATCCTTTGACCCACAATCTTTCTTCCAAGAATCCTTCATAACAACACATTGGTAAGCATATTAAAATCCATGCTCAAAGTTGGTAATTGCAGTGATATTGGTGAGAGCAAAAACTAGTGCCATTTGGCTTTAAAAGACATAATTATTTGGTAGCATGCCTATCAGGTGTATATCAAAAAAAGTGCCTAAATGCCTAAGTAAAGGTAATTACTTGATGGTACATCTGTCAGGTTTACCCACAAAAAGTGTTTAGGTGATTTTAAAAAACAACAACAATATTTGATAGTACATCCCTATTGATATGTAGCCCAAAGACCAAAAGAACCATGGGAAAAAAAACCCCAGAATATTGGCAATATTGGTTTTGTTGTTCTAAGATTGCAGGGATTAAGCAAGTGACAGTTGTTGTCACTGACAATTGCTATTTTCAGGTACATTAAAAAATTTTAGTTCCAAATTATATTTTTATATACAGATTTGTGTATCTTCAGCTACTTGTCCACTATGTGCATGTGTGGATGTGTGTGTTTGATGTATGCGAATGAGTTAGTTTTTGAAATGGGGGTGAGGAATATATGAGATTTTCTTTTATTCTCTCATGTATTTTTAGCAGTATATGTTATATACTATATAAATATATTGATGTATCTATTTGATAAGAGAAAGTTAATAGAAATTGGCTTGGGGTTGTGACCTAGAGCAGTTACCTATGCAAGTGTAAGGGCTTGCATTTAGTCCTTAACACTGCAGAGAAAAAAGAAAGAGAGAAAGAAAAAAATAAAAAAGAAGAAAAATAGAATAATCCCATATCCTAGCTCTGTCCTCTAAAGGGATAGTAGATAAAACGGATGGACATAGGAACAAAGAGAATATCTGGTTGTCTAAAATTTCAGACTCTGAAAAAATTTTAACTACAAAAGAAACAAGACCATTCTGGAGAAAGGCTGGTTTTAAGTCTGGGCAGGAAATATACAATATGATGGTGAAAGTATTGAAAATGATGATCAATGATGGCAGATGTTATATCAAAATGACGCAGGAGCTTATATGGATAGTGCTGACCAGAGGTGGAGCAACTTGATCAGCAGTAAGAATAATAAGAGAGTAGACACAAATATGTTGGATATGTTAGACCCATGATTTTATGAAAAAATTAGAAAGCAAATCATTGTTTATTTGGAAGAGGGTCAAGAAGGGATCCTTAAAGAAAAAGTAGTCAATAAAGGAAGAAAAATCACATAAGAAGCCTGCCTTTTGTTTGTGAATTATGTATCCACATGACACAGTCACTGATGAGGGTAATTTGCCTGTTATAGAGGTTTTTGGCATCTAAATAAAGAAGGGAGGAAACTCTGGTACCCCGGATGAAATGATGAGACTCTAGTGGACTTAGACAGGCATCATGGGTTGCTGCTAGCATCATAAAGAGACAACCAGGTATTAAAACCTTCCTAGTGGAAGACTATACCACTTCCTGTGGAGTAGGGTCGCACAATCTCTTCTTCCACCAAACAACAAAAACTGTTAAGAAGAGAGATTTGAACAATAATTTGTCTGTTGAAAGGGACATATCAAATAATAGCAATGTGTGGCCCTTTATTAGGCCCTAATTCAAATGAGCTTTTTTTGTTGTTGTTAAATACAAATGGTAATTGGGAAAATGTGAACACTGACTAGAAGTGCAACAGCATTAATTTTTACAAGTGATAGTTTTATGAATGTGTTTAGGAGCCCCTTTTCTAAGAAATATGGAAATATTTTGAGATGAAATGGTATGATGGGATTTACTTCAGACAGTACGAAAAGGAACAGATAGAGTTGGTGTTATACTGGCAAGCAGAAACACCGAAGTGACACCCAGGATTTGGAGGGAGATTTATTTACTGATGGGGGTCATTCCCAGATTATCAGGCCCTGATCTCTCATGGCCTGGGGCTTAGATGAGACAGCCAACCAGGAAGTACAGAAGTAGAATGACTTGTCAATTGTGAAATGGTTTATACAGTGTGTAGCTTAGTGGCCATTGTGCATCACAGTGACCAGCTACTTCTAAGAAACAGAAGCAACCAGAACTGCAACAGAATCTATTACCTGGGCAACTAAGAAACTAAAGTATACTCTATACTTGTGGGGGCTGGGGAGGCATTTTGTGTTATATCCATCTCATTTAGTTTCCCCAGCAAATCTTTGCTGGGCATATTACATATGACCTTTTGAGACAAGACCCACATAAAAGCAGTCAGTGATCCTAGGATGTACTCTAGTCAAGTTCCCCAGGGCTGTCATATTACACAGTTTTTTCCCAAATTATTTTGAGGAAAAGACATAACTTAGGTCTGTCTGTTGTTTAATACTAGTCTGACAATCTAATGGGGGGTTTATCTGATCTAGGAGAGTGTCCACTGTGTCCAATTGAATGCTCATCAAATCTTGGTCAAGTGTTTGACTGATTATTCTGTTCTCTTGGGTCAACCATTCATAGAGTATAAGGCAAAACAAACAAAACAAAACCCACAGCTAGAAGGCACAGGGAATCAAGGACTGGGGCAAGCAGCTTGAAAAGGCACAAAAATCAAGGGAAATAAGTATGAAACAATCCTGTGACTGATGACTTCAGCTGTGCATGGACTAGTCAGTGTCCAGAGTAACTAAAGCAGGGCATTGAGTGTGTCATCTCTTTATAATGAGCCTTAGAGGAGCTGTTCAGGTAAATTTTCCAGCAAGTCTATAGCTGGATTTCTGGAACTTGTAGAGGTAATTAATATGTACTTGGGTTATATGTGTGTGAGTTACAAACTCTTTTTCTAACTCTTTTAGAGGTCTTTGGCTCTATGTTATACATAGCTTTTATTTAATCTAGTTTTTGAGCTATCTCTGCTATACATGCAGGCCTGTTGTTGCTGCTAATGATCCAAGGTAGGCATTTCTATGAATGATTTTTTACAGCAGGACCCTAAAACTTTTATTGTCTTTTCAGTACAGGCAGAGAATGGGAGATTGGAGTCAGTGACACAGACACCAAAGTCTGAGCTGGCTGCAGGGGTACAGGTGCCAGCACTGTGGCTTGAGCCTGAAGAATAAAGGGTAGTGTGGCTCTGATCTTCCAGAATACTAGGTAAAATTTTTCTGGCTGGGGTCGATGTTTCAGTCAATTGGGTCCCCAGAAAAGGCTTAGGGTTGGATTATTCTGGGTTGCTAGTGGCAGTTTTCCAAACAACAAGAAGAAGCAATTTTCTATGCTAATCATCCCTACAGGAGAGTTTTGACCAAACTAGTTTTGTCCAAGATGACCACAGCATATCTAGCCTGTTGGACTTCATTCCTAAAAGAGCTATTACCATGCATAAATAGTATATACTCAGCATCAGTCAGGGTCCATTTTAACAGAACAGTCCATCATTGTACATAATGTGGCACCTGGATAGGCAGGTCTCAGTCTAAGATGAGCCTTTCAAGTTTTCCTGATCAGAAGGACAGTGGCTGCTAGAGCATGGAGGCAAAGGCAGGAGGCAGCTCTTAGCAACCAAATCCAAGTATTTGCTCAGGTCAGCCACTGGATACTCTTAGTAGCTGACAGTCTGAGTAAGCACCATTGTTTTTGTGAGTTCAAGGATCTAGGCTTTATGGAAGCCAGCAGCTCCAAGAAATTTACAGAGATTCTTTTTGTAATCAGTTTCTGTCAGATACTGTAGCAGTTTTTTGTCCTTCCAGCAGGTAGATTTTGTATCATCATTCAGAAGTGCAATGATCTGCAAAGAGGGTAAACAAGATTTTGAACCTCTGGAACATTGAGTCCAAGTCAGTCGACCTTTGAGTCCAGAACTGGAGTCTTTGCAAAGAGGAATTGGTTGGAAGGAGCCAACTGAAGACAGAAGAAGGCATTCTTTAAGCTCAAGTAGGTGTACCAGCAGGCTGTGGGTGGCAGGAGACTGAGGCAATATATATGGAGGGCAATCATGGTGGCATTGGCATCTCAGAGATCTTGAACTGGCTTTACAGGCAGAAGAAGTACATTTAAGCAGTTTGACAGTCTATGAACATTTTGTGGTTATCTGTTTCAGGCTGATGCAGGTGTCATCTCCCTCTCAGGAAACAGTCAAAGTTGAGAGTGTAGGGCTAAATGACTGGGTTGGTACAAAGGAGATGTCCTCCTAAACTGCAAATTTGTGCCTAGCAGAAATGGCAAGAGGAAAGGGTCTTAGTTGCCCTGGTGATGGTAGCTTTTTGACAGAGGGAACTTTTGAAGTCTGAGAATTCTATTGCTTAGCCTACCAGAAAAGTCAGAGATTTGCCCCTGCCTTTTGAAATGCTGTGGGCTTTCAGGGACCCAATTTGACAGAGCTCAGTCTTTCCTATCTATTCAAGTCTGATAGGGTGCAACTCATTTGTCAGGGATGATGTCCCAATTTTTCCTCAGTCGAAATGTGGAACTCAGAAGGAATTGTCATCTCAAGTGGGCATTTGATGTCACCACCTGACCAGAATAGGCATGTCTCAGCAGGGAGGGACTGTGTGGCTGAATGCAGGCAATGGCTAGCTGTAACCAGTTCAATTGACTAGAAATAGACGTGTCTGGAATGGGAAGTGAAGCTATAGGTGTTGCTAGCAACAGTGCTGGCCAACAAGAGCACCAAGGTAGAAGTCTTGGGATGAATGGGCCTCTTTTTCCTTTTTTATTTTTTAATTTTTTTTGAGATGCACAGAGTGGTTTGGTTTCATTTTAACTTTATAAAAGCGTTTTTCCTACAATCAGGGTTGTAGGCTTTTACTAATTAGCTCACATCTCTGACTTCCTATCTGTGTGTTGGGTACCTTTGAATGATAGCACAACACACAAAGCATGGGTACCCCTCAGAGAGAGACCATTCAGATGCCTGCCTGGCTGTTTCCCTCATGAGCATTTATGCACGAATTAGCTAAGGAGAGTGCAAGGCTACCATTATGACATATGTCAATTGCCACAGAACTGCAGGTGAGGGCCCAATCAGCCACCATGACCAGTGCTTTCCAGTCTTGGTACACAGATAGAGCACCCTATTATCTGCTTTGCATTCCACTCACTCATATATTCATTCAGCAGGTACTCAGAGGTTAAACATTCCAAATTCTTTCCCTTGAGGGTAGCGTTAACTAACAAGAGTTGATCAAGTTCTTTTTCTGCTGGAGCTGAGAAGGACAGACAGACAAAGTGGGATGCCCCCAGGGGTCTGACCAGAATCAGGTATGCAGGCAGGCAGACAGGCAGACAGACAGACAGACTGCATCCTCCTCTTTTTGGGGTCCAAGTGAGTTGCTTAAGCAGGTAGCCAGGAATATTCCTCTAGGCCTCTAAGGAGACCCAAGAAATCTCCAGGGTGTACCTTCCTGTCAGAAACTGGAGAGGTACTTGCTCCATCTGTGAAGGCCATGACCAGTGACCAGGGAGATCAACATGGTCAGGCTTCCCAGTCAATGCACTAGATACAACAGCAAGCAAACACCAAAGTGACACCCAGGATCTGGAGACAGATTTATTTATGTTCACAAGCAATAATCAGGATTGGTTTTGGAATATCAAGCCCTGATTTCTTGTGGTCTGGGGCTTATATGGGATGAGAAAGCAGGAAGTACAGAGGCAGAGTGGCTTGTCAATTGGGGGTTGGTTTATACAATGTACCCATAGTGACCAGCTATACTTCACACTGACCAATCATTTCTAAAAGACCCAAAATCAGAACTGGAGCAGGAACAATTACCTGGGCAACTGAGAAACTGAAGTATACTGGTTGTGGGGGAGTCTAGGGCAGCATTTTCTATTACAGTGTGAGAAGCACAGGATGAGCTGATAAATATGGAATTGAGCGAGGGGTCCCTGAGAAGGTATTTACATTGCCTTGTCTGTTTTGGCATTTTAATACTTTCTGTAGTAAAGTACTTAAAACATATGCTTTACTCTGAATACTATTTCATTTTGCACTTATAAAAAAACGTGACCTGTAAAGTTTTTATTTTTCTTGAGATTATCACATCAAAATGTCTCTCCCCTGCACTCATCCATATGTATATATGCGAGTGTGTGTCTTTCCTGTTGTCTTTACTTCCATATTCACATATATATTTAGTTTAACACATCTTAGTGGTGTGTTGCCTAGAAGTGCTGAAAACTCCAGACCTCACACCATTATCTTCTCTGGCTCTGGGAGTCTGTGAAATAAACAGAGAATCTATGAAATAAACAGGAAGGGCCTTGGCACATGTCTTGACCCTTGGGCTTGGCCTCTGCACACAAATAGTAGATCAACAACTTCCAGTGCAATAATTGGTTGAAATTAGCTATGCTATTCATCAATTCATTAACGTATATAATTCATTCTGATTGGTAGTGTGGAAGAACTGACTACCACACAAAGAGATATATTAGCTCCCAAATATATATATATATATTTCTGATTACTCAAGCACTTAGAAATTGTCCCAGAATTGCTTCTTGGCACTTTGGTTATGATTAAGTATAGAAATTTTCCCAGATACTGAGGTATAGTTCTTTGATACTACTTCATTTTAAAGCAACTATTACTGTTATGTATAGTATAGATTACTTGTTTCAAAGAATAGGAAAAGAAGGAATATACCCTAAACAGGCTGCATTTGGAAGCCAATGGTAAAACCCCCCATTTTAGTAGACCTTTGTGCTTCATGTTACCTGTTCTCTCATGTTCAGGCTCTTACTCATCCCAGTTCTTCACACAAACTTAACAAAAGCGTTTTTTCAAGTCAAGTGGTAATATTGATATTGAAGATAGAATTAACAGGCAAAGCATTCTCCCTCATTTGTCACCATTAATAATGCCTTCCAATGGTCACACCTGCCAGGAACCCCACCAAAGTGAGAAGTGCTTTTGTGCCAATGTCGTTATCAGCTTCAGATATGATATTGATTATGATTTGGAGGCACATGAAATTACACACTTGTGAAGGGAGAGATTTTCTTAGATAAAGGAAAATAGGCCTTGCTCATTTCAGGTCCATATTGCAAAGAATAACGAGGTCACTCTGTTCTCAAAGTTCTACTGGTAAATGCAGCACAGATTATAGGATGAGATGAATAATCTTCTGTTTGACTTTGGACCTCTTGTAGGGGCAGACAGAGAATTTTAGAAATGCAAATGTGCTCCATTAAATGGATGGCACACTTGTACAGATCTCTCTGATCCCTATCTATGGCCCATCAGGCCCAGTGTTCTGTCTCTGGTGGTACAGTGGGTGACACAACTGTCCTCAGAGATGCCCAGAATCAGTGGAACCTTGTAGTTACAGCTGCCCTCTTTGTCAATGTCCTTGGAGAAGCATCAACATGATTCAGAGTCTTTATTCTGAGTTGAAAATAAAGTCTAATTTGTATATGCTTGTCAAACTGGCAAACTGATGAAACTACTGCAGAAACTATGTATGCTGAGCTGGTAAGGCAAAGGGGATCTGAAAATTTATATGTTTATAAGTTAATTAAGGGCTTGGGAGATGTCCTAAACTCAGTGCAGTGGGAACCGATGCTGTCTAATCACAGGCTCCCACAGCAGCAGGCAAACTCTCCACACCTCTCTCCAACTCTCCCCAAATGCCTCCAGTTCAGATAAGCAAGACCATCAGGAAGGAGCACCATTTCTGTCTTCATGCCCGTTCCACTGTTGGCTTTGTTTCTGAGCCTTCCAACAAGCATATCAATTAGTAGCTCCAATCGTGAAAAGTTTTTTTTTTTTTTTTTTTTGTAATTCAAACACCTGTCCACTAGAGCCTGGACTGAAGCCACTGAACAGTTGTCAGATGGTAACTGTAATGTTTATAGATTCAATCGATAGATCTGCCTCTATGTTGCATAAAATGCCAAAAAGTTATATAGCCAGACATCTGGCAATTGGAAGATTGTCTATCTCGATTGGCCCTCAAACTTCTATTTGTGCATGCTATGCTGAGCCTGGGAAAGCAAGCGTGGTTTTAAAATTGTTATCTCCCTCATTTCTGTCCACGACAGCTTCTGGTTGCTCACTCTCTGCCAGGACTATAGTCACACCAAGATATAAAGAGAGAGCTTCCAGACCTTCGCCTCCATGTCTGCTTTTGCTAAACTCACCCCTCAACTCAATCTGGCCAAATGCAATCAGACAGGCACTCTCATTCTCCCCAGAGCCTAAGTCATTCTCAGAATGTAACCTGAGTATTTGGAGAAGCATTCGAATGCATTTAAACTTTTGGGGACCAAATAGTGCTTTATAGGAAATGTACTTTAGAGAGTCCTGACAGGCCCACAGAAGTTAATAAACTTTGCCACCTTCTACATTTTTACTAAGAAGGGACTTAGATGAAGTAAGGATAGAGCACTGCATATGTTTTCAATGATAAATGATAGCCTGGGATATGGTGGAGTCAAGGTGGGGCCATAAAAACTTGGAACATGTGCTAATTACTGGTGCAATTCTATAGCTTCCCACAAAAAGCACCTCTGCGTTTTCATGCCTTAATTTCATTTGTTTGGCCAGTATACCTTTGTATTTGTGTTCTTGAAAGTTTTATTTTTTTAATCACTGATGCATGCAAAAATATTAAATGATAGCTATATTGTACACAGAAATGCTGAGTTTTGAAAGGTTAGGGGAAATGTTAATTATATTTAACTTTTGATGTATTTCTAGGACTTCTTATATGATTTTAACTTCCGTAGTTTCATTCCTGACAGAGGCCCTAGTCGAAGAGTTTCCTATCATGTCTAGAGCCTCCCTTCTTTGCAAGCCTAATTATTTCTTCTACATTTCTCTCTAGTTGCTTAGACACCTCTTCTCATTTCTACTTTCTCCCTTCAGGAAGCATTTATAGTACCTGCAGGCCACAGACCAACCCTGCTAGGGGTATCAAGGGTTAACGGTATTTTTATTGCAGATGAAGAGAGACAGATCTGAAGCGAATCCCCTCAGGTCACATGTGAAGGGAGAGGCCTGATGTTTTGGCTATTTGCCATTAAAGCTCATTAAAATGACTCCATAGCTATGTCTAATTCTAATGAATAATTTATGCTAAAACGTTAAGGGCTACAGAATCTTAATAGTGACAGTGACAGAAGGCATGGCGACCAGACTCCGGCTGTTCATCCACTCATTCTCCAAGTTTGCTTCAGCTTCTTACCCCCAACAACATGGGTTTACCCTCACTCACCACGGGACAGTGCAGGAAGATTTCTCAAATAGAAGGTCAGGTATTTCTAAAGCAGCTACAAGAGCAGAAAGGAGTGAGGCACTGCGGGCTCATTTCACAAACACAACATGCTAGTTTTCAAAGGGACTCAGTAACATTAAGCAGAAATTAAACCCAAGTCCTTTGGTATCATCCAAGAACCACCTCAGTGAATCAGTGTTTATAAGTAGGATTAAAACTGAAGTAAATTCTGGGCCTGTTAATTATGTTAATGGGGGTAGGCTGTCTTAGGTTTTCTATCTCCAAATTGATAATTACTATAGTGCTGGCAAGTTATTCTGGATACTTCTAAACTCAGACAAACTTGTTGCATGACCATCACCTTATGCAACTCTGTAGTTGGTGAAAGTAACTTTACATTCCACATACACCAGAGTTGCGGAGTTTGGTGTCCACTCCAACCCACAGATGCATGGGAAATATGCTACAACTTTTTCTATAATCTGACCCTTTCCCATATATCATTTCCTCCCCTCCCATGCTTCAGCACCACCCCCACCTGCACGTAGGGCCAGGTAGAGAAAAATTATCCATTAATGTCCAACGTAGTTTAAAGCATAGTCTGATGCAGTAATATAAACAGAAGTATCAGTGTGTCTCTCCTGGAGAAAAATGTTCAGGCTTCCCATCATCTTCCCTCCCTCGTGCCTGCAGACTGTTGGATAAAAGGATGTTAGTGCCCTGCAGTCTCTCAGGGTTGTGGGGAGGAATCTGATTTTCGAAGTAAATTCTTTTCTCCCACTCAGCTCTCTTCAGTGATCTTTCTTATCCATGGTTACTACCTGCACGGCTTGATTTTATGTCTAAGATCTGCAGTGGAACTAGTTCAAGATTTGTTTGTCTGCCTTGGATGTTTCAGGAGTTGGAGATCCAGCCAGCTGACTTGACTTCCATCTCAGCTAGTATTAAAGACTCCTCCATGTCCTCTGCAACTGTGTTGCACTCTTCACTGGCCATTCGCTAGCTGTCTATAAAGAGCTGCCCCATTACAGCAATTGCCTCCATCGGAGCATCTGCTCTATCAACTGTCCTGGTCCTTGATTCAGTCCTGACACAATGGAACCAAAGAGACTGGAAATTCTAAATATTCAGGTCCCACTCTTCCTGCTACCCACATGGATGAGACTGACGTCCTGGGCTCCCTCCTTGCCTCCCTCCCCTTCTGCTTCTCTTCCCCGTTGTTCTTCCTATGGTGCCCCAAGCTAGATAAAAGGGTGAGCTATGCTTTTGACTTCTATTCTGCATTTTCTTACTTTAGCACCAAGGAGGAGGCTCACCTGACATTGAGAGATAAGGGAATTTAGAAAATCTGCTCTCCAGACAACAGCCTGGCTTGTGAGGCTTTAGCCTGGCTTAACTTTGAATTTCAAAAGCTGACTATTACCTGGATCTTTACCTCTTCCCTCCTTCAGTAGGTGTTATAATCTACCCCAGGAAGTTGGTTGTCAGGTTGATGGAGAAAAACCCTGCATCTGGAAAGGTAAAGAGGAAAGAGGAAGTATTTAAAAACCCATTAACCCTGTGTACATACTCTGACAAAGGACAACCCACATGCTTCACCTTCACAAAATGTAGCATTGGAATTTGGTGCTGAGATGCATTGGAAAATGATATTCTTTTGACCTCTTTTCTAGGAGGACTTTTGATGATCTACACTTGGAATTCTACATAAGAAGGAAAAAGGTCAAGGGACTTTATAGAGAAGCAAGACAGAAATGCAAGGTGCAAACAAACACAAGAGGCATTTAATAGTTTTACAGAGATGAAAACTCATGCCATTTTCAGCACCAGGTGGGTGGGTACACCTACCTGCCCACTGGCTAAGGACACTAGACAGTAGAAAGATAATAGTAATCACTTATGATTGATGAATGCTTCTGTCTGAGGCCACTGCTGAACCATTAGCCCCTAAGCAAAGTCGATGTATCCTACCGATAAGCAAGACAGTCCATCAGGCTGTGGGAAGAAAATCTGAAATTGTATTTATTTCTTATCATGACCAGGAGAAAAATGAACATTGATGGTACTTAACACAGAGATTTACATCAATACCCCCTCTCAACTCTTAGATAAGAGGTCTCGAGGAAAAACTGACATTCTAGAATGTGCAGGAGTTTTGGACAGTGGTCCTAGGATACATTTATTCTTTCTTGTTTTAGCTCACTATGATATGTAGTTTACATGAAGCAAGATAAGTGAACTTATAGGCTGTAGTAAGGGGAGAATCTTCAGTACTTACAAATGTTGTGGCTATGACCGTAGAACATTTGCTGTCAGGCAGTTTCTCAGATTATTGCCTGGACAAGTAACGTAAGAGTCATTAAACTTGATAATTAGTAGCACTTCTTTGTGTGTTTTTGAGACAGGGTCTCACTAGGCAGTTCAGGTTGACTTTGAACTCACTTTTTAGCCCAGGCTGATACTGAACTTGCAACGATCTTCCTGCCTCAGCCTCCCAAGTGCTGGGATTACAGACACGTGCCACCACGCCATGCATTTATTAACAACAAAACTGTCCCAGATTTGCTGGTTCTTCTCCATAATAAAATGTGATTGCCTTTTAATAACATGATATCTATCTTTAAAAAATGAATCATTTTAAACATAGTTATTATAGTATTTGATCAATATAGTAGTAGAAAATATAATTTAAATATATCAATAGTTTTTCCTGAGTGAAAGATACATATTTCATATAATTGACAGGCTAGAATAAAATATTTAAAAATACTATTTCAATCACTTGAATTTCCCTTTTGTGTTTATCTTATATTTTAGTTCAAAGGTACATGATTTGATTTATAAATTGCAGAAGCATTTTATACATATGCTGAGATACACATGCCTGTTTTACTGAGGAGGAACCTCAGGAAGGTTGGGACTGATGTGTAAATCCTTGGCACATATTTTCTAATTAATTCCCAGCACCCTCTGAGTCAGGCATTATCACCATTCCAATCATTCAGACTCACAAAGGGGAAGAGGGACTTCAGTAGCTCAGGAGGTAGCCCCCCGTCACAAAGCTAGCACAGTCGGACCTCTGCACCCATGGGTTCTCCATCTGCAGATTCAACCAACCATAGATCAAACTCAGAAAAAAAATTACATCTCTACTAAATATGTACAGACTTTTCTCTTGCCATTATTCCCTTACAATAGAGGATAATAACTACTTATATAGCATTTGCATTGCATTAGGTCTGATAAGGAATCTAGAGATGGTATAAAGTATCTGTGAGAAAGTATGTAGGGGCTATGCAAATGCTATGCTGTTTTACACAAGGGACTTGAGAACGTGCAGATTCAGGTATGCTCAGGGGCAGGATACTGAGGGGCCATAGTGGAAGACTGGTTGGATATTTATAAATCTTAACATCTACAATGAGAGCCCATGATTTGGGGATCCATGACAACTGGTTGCTAAATGACATGCATAAGACCTTGGAAAGACTCAAGTTAGGGTAAATAGTGGGTTGCTAACAGATTCCTCGTTCAGGTGCTAAGTTGTACTTATCTGCTTATATCTTGCATCTTACTGTACTTGTGCATCAAATATTTACATTAGGTTTAAGAGTTGAAAGTGTGTTAAATATATCTTCTATTATCCTTTCCTAATAGAAAAGAATGTAGGTTAGTGCAAAAGATACTAACCGGAGTACCCCAAATCAGCTGCTGATAGAATGTCCTAATGCAAGCAAAGAAAACACAAATCTGAATTCAAAATCGTGACAGCAGTATAACACCTACTCATCTTATAGCCGTCTGCAGAACTGATTGGAGGTAAGGGCATCTGATTAGATTGCACTATCGGGAACATTTCTCCAACCTTTTATACAGTTAATTCACATACAATACAGTATACAGGAATTCTTGAAACTTGGGTTGCTCTGTGATGGGCCATCAAGCCTGCAAGAGTGCCATTATTGTCCATCATGTCAACAAGTGCTCTTTAACAGGGAGATTACTGACAAGATAGAGTGTAAGGACAATGAGGAAAATGTTAGCACATTGCTGTCTGTCAGGTCAGACTGCTGTCCACTGCTGGGTGAATGAAATCCACTTGTTACTGAAGCCTCATGGGCTAGCAAGCTGAGGCCACATATCTTAATGGAATAACCTATCACTTTTATTTTATTCTTATTTTCAAAATATACCCAAAGGCAGCAGACACTCTTCTGTGTCAAGCTGCAGGCTACAGTGAATTTCTGTGGCCGCTATAAGCCTCTGAAATGGTGTCTTATGCTGGAAAAACTGACAGAGCTTTAGCTGTAGCTGTACTAACAGGAGCTGCCATAATAAAAGCTGCCTTAAGAAACCACAATTTGCCCCAATTATAAGGGCTGCAACAATCTCCGAGAAGCCTGATTGTTCACTCTGACCTAATAATTTTTGTACTTCCAACTGTGCATGTTGGCATTTTCCAAACATGTGCCTTCTATCCTGAGTGTGGGCCGTGTGATGGCTCTAGGTTCCTAGTCTGATAGCCAGGTCCCTGTACTTCAGAGGAAATCAGAGTGTGCAGTAACATTTGTCAGGGAAGGAGGAAGAAATCCAGGGTGGATCATGGGAAATGCAGGCACTTCCCCACCCTTGACAATGGGAAGTCAGAATCAGCAGGTATAGAAAGGCACATGCAAATGATGGCCAATAGAAAGGAATGACAGTTAGATTATACACTCAACAAGTATACATTTTAGAAGCCAAGAGGTCAGGCATGGTTCCAGCCCAGGGGGACAGCATAATTATTTCCCTTAAGAAACTTATAGTTTCATTGGAGAATAAAAATGTCAAATAAATACAGGTTTTCTTGATTTGTTCCTTCACAGGGCTAGATAGTGTAGGAGTCAAGGAAAAAGACTCAGTTATCTTAATTTCCCTCTATAACTTACCACCATAATGCCTGCGTGTGCATCCATCCTTCCTTCCATCCTACATTTTATCTGTCCATCCAATAACCCATTCATTCTTTGGACGTTTGCTTAATGCATCTTGTGTGTTGACTTTATTTTCTTCTTCAGAGCCTTCTCCACACCTGCTTCTTTCCCAGCTTTCCTGTTCCTGTTTGAAATACCAGCATCCTCCCCTTCACACTTGCATCTTTGCTCCCTCCACGTGAAGCCACAGGGCACCTTCCTTCAAAGTCTTTGTTACTTCATTTCCTTTTCCCATTCTCATGGTTATCACCTAGTCTGGATCCCTACATGATGGAGAAAGAGCTTTGTGTGTGTGTACACATGTGTGTACGTGTGTGTACATGCATGAGTGTCCACATGTGTGATCAGGTTGTGTTTGGTTTGCCCTTGAATGCTCTCACACAGTGACTTGGCCTCTCTGCTTTCTGTCACTCTTTATCACATCACACTATTTTTCTAAATAGCTCCTTTTGATGTTTTAATAATTAGCTCCATGTGTTCAAAAACTTTGTCTTACTCCTACTAACAAGAAACTCAGTAAATAGTTATTGGATGAATGAATGAATGAATGAATGAATATTTGTTCAAAATTTAGCCCAGACCCATGAAAATTTCTATGACTTCTTTTTCCCAGTCAAAATGATCATTCCTTACTTCTGTCTTCCAATAACACTTAGAACACAATTCTATCGAAATGCTTATGAAACATATTCTAACAATGAATCACTTATCAATCTGCCCTACTTGTTCTAAAGACTGAAGCTGGGGGTATCCTCACTAGTTTGATTTTGTATGACCACTGTCTTTCACAGACTAAAGTGAATTTTTACTGACTGATTTGTTAAGCCATTGAACAAAGAGATAGGTTACAGACATAATCACGATATGTGATCATATGCACAAGCATCAGCACTAGACAGTTGAAAAAATTAAATCTGTCATCACTTTAAACAAATGAGAAATTTTGACCAACTTGGCTGTCATGAATATAACACCAATTTGTATATAGGCTTGATATTTTGAGTAGCAGACACACAGGCATCTGGGTTGACACCTGTTTAGATTCAGGCATAGAATGAGTTTGAGATTCCATGTGCAATAAATGTTCTGGATCACTGCACACCCAGGACTTTCAACTGGAGTTATATATGAGCCATTCATAGACTTTCTGGTGCAGCCTGACAGGATCCAGGGGGAGGTCCATCAGCAAAAGCATGGAAGGAGGAAAGGATAGAAGGAGAGAAGGAAGGGAAAAAGAAAGAAGGGAGGGAGAGAGAAAGGGAAGGGATTGCCAGGAGTTGGTATGGCACCCTGAATACGGTATAGTATATTGAAAGGAGTGGCTGACCACAATTTTCTAGAACCAAGGTTTGGGCTTTCATTGCTTCCTATTTGACACATGAGTTGGAATTTATTTACTTATATCTGAGTCAGTAATCAAAGGCACAATCTTCCAAGACAGGATCTGAAGTGTTTGCATATAACTTGAACTAATGTGAAAGCTGGACTTCTTGTTTTTCTTTTTTATCCACCCCTTCTTCCCTTCTAACTACTCTTTCTTGGAATCTACTTTGGAGCACCCAGGATGTTTTAAGCTTAGAGCTTTGTCTTGTGGAAAATAATAATAATAATAATAATGATAAGAGTATGAGTGTTTACCCGTAAGAGATGTATGATTGATTCAAAGAACTAATTAAGTACACATACAATTATGATTCAAATAAATGAACATAAAATGTGTACCCTATGAGAGGTCCTAAAGAGTTATGGTTCAGGTAACAGATATTTTGTGAGTATCCACCTGAATATGTAGATACTGGGACATGGTGATAAAAAATAAATCATACAATTCCTCATTGTTATATGAATTTCCAGCCTATTGAGGAAAACTTGCATAAATATATCATTATAAAATTGGCAATGTTAAGAAAAATGCTATAGAAGGACAGATAAGTAGAATTATATGCAAATAGGCTATCAAAGATGACTTCCTGAAATGATGACCTCAGCTGGCCTGCAGGTGAGAGAACTCAGCCATCCAATAGCACTCGGTGTATGTCATACAGTATTCTACATGCTGCATGCATTCTCATTTTCTCTTTGCAACAATCCTATAGGGTAGGTACTATTAGTACCTCTTTTTATGAGTAAGCAAACAGGCACATAAAGTTATTTGCTCAAGTTCACAGTTTGCAATAGTTAGAGTTTAAAGTCAAGCCCATTTGGTTCTAGAGTTTAGTAACTATGTTCTTGTAGCCAGCAGCATCAAAAATCTGTAAACAGATTAAATCAGAAAGCAACAATATTCAAAATGTTGACTACTCCATTGGAAAACTGTATAAAAAATACTAAAAGACAAGTCATAAAGAAAGTCATACAAATGACTTCCAAGTACATGGAAAAGTTAAGCCTCGCTCAAAAGAAACACAGAATAAAACAAAATTCCTACTTCATCCCCTAAATCAGAGATTATTTCATTTAATTTTGCTATGGCCTTTATGAGGCCAAACAATCTGGCAATTTGCATCAAAAGCCTTCAATGTCCTATATTTTTTTATTTAGTAGAAGCACCTTCAGAAATTTATACACAGGAAATGACAACTCATGTTCAAACAATTTAATCAATAAGGATATTAATCACTGTTCTGTTTGTAACTATATAAAACTGGAAGCAATATAAATATTCAACAATAGGGCATGATGGATTAATTAGGTTATGGTACTGCCACAGGATGGATTTCTATGTGATCATGCAATGGAGTATAGAAGGAAACTAAATGACAGAAGATGTTATTTGTGATTTATGATAAGTCAAGGCAATCAAGTAGGAACGGCATATTCCATTTTTGTAAAAACTATAGCTAAGTGAAGAGAAAATGTTGGTACTGTTCATCTCAGGATAGCAATATACTGGGAGACTGTCTGTATTCTTTATGTTTCTCATTTTGCTTATCTGCACTTCCCATTTTCTTTAAAATTAAAATATATTGCCTTTCAGATTTTTTAGAGATCAGGAAGAGGATGAAGGGATAAGGAAGTGAGGGATAAAGGGATGGAAAATGATCGAGATATGTTATACACATGTACCAATTCCCTTAAGCGAACATCGCTATTCTGTATTACGAGCGAACACTAATAAAACATTTTTTAAAAGAAGTACTGCCTTTATAATAAGGGAAAAATGAGCAAACTGTTCTCTCAGGGGGAGTTATATCTGCTGAGAAAGTAGGGCAGACATCTAGGCTGAGAAGACAAGGTAAACAGAAAGGCTTAGGGCGAGTGGCAGGGAAACAAACACAGCTTTTGAGGAAAGATGAAAGAGATCACAATGGCTCTGTGTGCCATGCTAAGTATCTCAGGCTTGGTCCTGAAGATAAGGAGCCACTGCTAGATGTTGAACAGGGAGATGGATGGAGGCAGCCAGAGCTCTATTCCAGAGCAATCACTTTGCAGGTGAAGTAGGAGGGGATGTCTGGAAGGTAGTGCAAGGTTAAGACTTTGCCACTGTGGAGGAAGTGACAGCAAAGGTCTGACTTAGAGCAGTAATAACAGAGAAGGAGACACAGAACATCCTGAGAATCAAACTGTTTCAGAGGTCATTTAGATAGCTTAGAAAGCGAACTCGTGAAGATCCGTTCAGTCTTCATGATTGGAGGTTAGAGGGTGGCAGAAAAGGAGCTTCAGTTCATGTTTAGGTTTCTAAGGTCACAGGTAGTTTGGTGTCTCCTCACTAAGACTTTGAGATGGTCTTGTGAGGACGGTGGGATTGTTTGGAAAATCTGATGTGTTCTAATTTAGATCCATTGAGTGAGAGCTTCCTCTGATACTCAAGATGATGAACAGAGCTGTTCAGAAACATATTTCCAA